AATAAGAGGGATTCAAGATAATAAGATTACTTCTATGGTTGATCATGAAATAGTTACAAAAGATAGTGAAGATATTTTAATCACAGTAGACAAAATTATTACTTTAAATACAGAAGATTTTAATATTTGCAAGCTATTGAAGTCATCAGAATTAGGTAATATAGCACCTGAAGACAATAGTAAATATAACAAGATTTTCAAAGATGAAGATATTATGTGTGAAATTGTAACTAGTGATGAATTGAAAGATGACAAGAATGAAAAGTCATCTGTAAATGCAGAAGCTGTGAATGAAGAAATTGAACTAGATATATTGGATTCAACTGAATCTATAGAAGAAGTAAATAACAATTTTCAAGAAATCTTCCAAGAGGATGAGGAAACAATACGTGATGCTTTCAAAGATTATGAACTCAATCTGTATACAGCAGAAGAATTTGAAGAAGATATTAAAAAAGTGGAAGAATTCGATGGAAAAAAACAAAATATTGCAGCGGATGGAAATGAAGTTGAATCTGAATTTGATGCTTCATATATGTGTGATAGTCATGGAAATAATAATTTGGAAATGAAGGAAAGTCAAGATCTTGCATTAAAGGAGCAAACAGTAGGTAGAAATGAAAATGATGAAAAGAGCGATGACGAAGAATGCATTACGAATCGTATGGAATGTGAAAGAAGATTATTAGAATTGCTGAAAGAGCAAGAAGATGAGTGCGCATTTTATCGCAAGTTGGATCGGGATTCGCAAATGGAAGCGCCCGACGTTGTCGTGAATGACAATTACGATGATGATGCAATCATCGATTTGGTGGAGAGGCCAAAACGGGAAGAGATTCGGAAACCCAACGAAGAACAGATCCGTGGAAGATGGCGTGAATTCAGCGAAGATTTGCGTGAATTGTTGCAGTGGGATTTGAAGAGTCTAAAGAAACGTGAAAATATAATTGTTCCTCTGCCATTGAAGAATAAATACGCGAAGATCGAAGATGAAGATGATGAAGAGGACGAACAATACGAAATTGAACAGAAATATAGTAAAGTTAGTTTTAGTACGATTAACTATGACAAGATAAAGCACGAGGCTACTAATAATAACGCTGAGGTGATAATCAGTAAGATATCTGGTATTCGAAGTGATTTGAAAGGATTCGTAGAGGAATTGGATAAGTTCACCGGGAAATTTCATAAGCAATACGAGAGTCTCGTCGATAAGTACAACAAGAATTGGCAGGAGAATGGAAAATTGGCGGAGATTCGTAAAGTTTTGAATGCGAATGGAGGGATGCTCTTGGATGAGGATCGAAGATATTTGCAGCAATTGATTGACTCCAATAAAAAGAGAATCAGGGAGGAAGAGGATGAAGACGTTGATGAAAAATACGAGGAAGTGTTTGGAAAACCGGTTACGAAAGCAGAAGTATCGGAAGGTAGTGGAAATGATGTCACTCCTCAAATTGATGTCTGTAGTAATAATGAAGATGAAACGGAAGATGGTTTGGTGAAAACGAACAAAATTATTTGTAGTTTGGAAATGCAAATGGCGCAAAACGAATGAACGTTTATATCTGTAAATGTTTTTTTTTTTATTATAAATAATAATATGTATACTTTTCCATCATTGATATCTCTTTTGTATAATCGCACGTGACTTTGGTAGATGGCAACCGGAAACGTTGTGAACAACATCGGAAAAGCCTCGCTTTTCGATCGCCTCGGCCAATTTCTCCTTGATCTGGTCTTTGTTCATAACTTTTTGCAGAGAATCGATTACGTCACTGACCAGTGATTGCTCCACGCATCTGAAATTTAAATATAAAATTAACATTTCATTATAATTCTTCATTTTTTTTTATTGCTGTTTTGTTGCATTTTTTTTTATAATATTTAATATTTGGTAATGAGTGCTAATAAATCAAGATTACTAATGTAAGTCTTCATTAGTAATATGTGGAATTATTGATTCCAACATTTTTTCCTATAACTTACTTTCCTATAAACGCGGTTCTCTTATGACATGGTTTTATTAAAACAAATAGTTTTAAACCAGTGTTTCTTAGACTTTTTGACAATTTTTTTGCGAGTCCCCAGCATTGAGAATCACTAGTATAAACTGGTTTAATATAATGATAAAATTAATTGTAATAATTCGTTCTGTAAGTCCTCTAGTAATGAAAAACATCTAATAAAAAAGCTTGGATTTGATTGAAGACTGGTTGAGTTATCCAAATGTTCTATACTAATTTATAAATAAAAAAACCAAGGATTTATCTATAGTTTAAAAAAAGTACTACATAAAACCATTTAAGAAGGAGATTATTTACCTTTGAATGTTATGAAATGTAGTAAATATGCAATATACTTAATACTTCATTATATGAATACATGTAATTCTTCAATACTAATATGTGGAATTATTGATTTTAAATCAAAGTTAATCCAAAACTTACAAAGTTCACGCAAATCCCAACATTTTTTTCACATTTGTGACATAATTTCCTATAAACGCGGTTCTCTTATGACATGGTTTTATTAAAACAAATAGTTTTAAACCAGTGTTTCTTAGACTTTTTGACAATTTTTCTGCAAATCCCCAGCTTTGAGAATCACTTATATAAACTGGTTTAATATAATGATAAAATAAATTTTAATAATTCGTTCTGTAAGTCCTCTAGTAATGAAAAACATCTAGTAAAAAAGGCTTGGATTTGATTGAAAACTGGTTGAGTTATCCAAATGTTCTATACTAATTTGTAAATAAAAAACCCAGGATTTATCTATAGTTTAAAAAAAGTACTACATAAAACCATTTAAGAAGGAGATTATTTACCTTTGAATGTTATGAAATGTAGTAACTATGGAATATACTTAATACTTCATTATATGACTAGATATAAAAAATACTTACAATGGGCATGGATCTTTATCAACAAGCTCATCAACTGCTATTAAATGATACTTGTATTTCTCTTCTCCTATTATCCGAACAGCACCCTTCTTTTTATCCTACAACAACACATCAATAAACACAAAATTAAATTATAAACTTAAGAACATTATTTCTTACCTTCTTTTCTTTATAATAAGTATTGACAATAAGCTCATTGATCTTCTTTTCCAAAATTTCCAAATACAAAAGCACATTTTGCATATTAATAGAACTGTTGTTACCTACAAATAATTAAATTAATTTCTAATCAAAATATTTCAAAACATTAAAGACCTAATAATTCCATCAACGGTGCATTCGAGCATTTGCACATCCTGAATATTCGCGTAATTCCTTCCAGAAGATCCTTCAATAACGTTTCTAACGATTCGAGCTCTTTCTCAGCACTACCAACTTCTTTCTGAGTGTTCTCCAGTTCCAATTCGATTCGGGCCAACTTTTCCTGTTGCTGAATTCCACGTAAATTGTGCAACTTTCGCTGTGCATCTGTGATAAAAGGAGAATTTAATAAGAAGCAGTATAGCATATACGAGTATCTACCTATATTCATGTGTAAACTCATTAATTCGTCGCTCGATTCCTCTAATTCCCTATTCAACTCGATCACGTATTGAAACATGGAAAAGTTCTCCATTTCCGAAGCAGCAAACTTTTCGGTTACTTTGTGCACGCTGCTCTCGCCTGTGAAACTCTACAATAATAAATTCACAAATCATTTTGAACTAATTATATAATACTAAATAACACCTTGATTTGTTCAACTATATTATTGTATTTTTCCAGCAATTCCTGCATGTCCTTCTTTTGCTGCTCCCTCTTGAGATGCTCCTTTGCTAGCAAATTCTTCATTATTCGTTTTTGCCCCTTGATGGAGAGAAACTCTTGCAATTTGGTTTCGTTGTCGATGCCGCGCTGCATTTCCGTCATCTCTTGCACGTGAGCTGTGTATTCGCTCAAGGCTCTCGTCCTCAACGTCTGCAATTTTTGACACCATTCCTCACGTTGATCGTAAGCAATAGTCGCCTGTTCGATCAAATCCAACATGAACTTCTTTCCTTGCGCCAAACTCGTCACCAATTTATCCCAAAGCTTATTGAAATGAGACCTATCTTTGAGCAGATGATCGATCTCTTGACGAAGCTTTCGGTTCTCCGTCAAGGTCATGCAGAAACGCTTCGTAGCAATATCCAGTTTATTCTCTAAAGCCTCCAAAGTCCTTTGTCCTTCTAAAACTCTCTGCGTGCATTGAATGTCCGTCACTTGACTGGATTTCAGCTCTACGATTCCCTTCTTTGCTAAAGTGATCTGCACGTCCAGCTCACTCAAATACGCTTTCTCTCTTTTAATATCTGAAACGAAGCTGTTGTGTTCCTTGAGCAAAGTACGCAGATTGTCAGCGATTTTCGCATCATTTTTGGCGTTAGCTTCAGACGCCGCGACGCTCAAATCTGTTAGAATCTCATTGTATTCCCTTTGAAGAATATCGATTACTTTCCTTTGCTTCGATAATCCTCCTGAGTTAGAACCAGTAAACGTGTTCCTATCCCGTTCCAAAATATGATACTAAAAACACATTTAATACAAAATATATTTTAAACCCACGACGTATTTTATTAAACCTGTCTCTGCAGCCTTAACAGTTCCGTTTCCGTCTGCAATTCCAACTTGAATTTTTCCTCAGGCGTTAAATTTTTCTTTTCCTTTGAAGCCATCCCTCTGTAAATCTGAACAGTGTTCTTTTTTTTTATCCGAAATGAAAAAATTAGTAATTAGAAGGGTTGCTAAAATTACGTATGATTATAGAATAATGACAGTAGATATCATGTAAGAAAAATAAACAAAAACGCAATTGCGGATGACTTGGATCTTTTTATTTGTTTAAATTTTTATTGGTCAAATTGATATTTATGGTGTCCACGAAATTTGTCATCTTTGTTATTGTTTCAGTTGGCGTTGGATTGCATTCACTGAAAAATTGAGTTAACATAAGATTTTGTAAAATAAATATCATTATATCATATAATTTATAAGATTTACAATATAATTATTAGTGTTACTTACATCAAGGATTCAAGTAGTAACTTACAGGACATTTCAGTAAGTAGCTTTGATTCATTTCGGTCAATTTAGTTTCCATAACTGTCAGATAGAGTAAGACGTTTCGCTCATTAATTGACGAACCATCTCCTAAAAAATATTTAAAATTATGCAAAGAATAATACGTAATTGCATTATGATATTTTAATTGTTGTTATTCCAATGGTAAACCGATTTATTATATTATATTCATAACAAAATTATTATTAATTATGAATTAAATCTAATACATTTGGTTTTGTTTTAAATTAATATATTTAGAAACGTTTTAGTTAATTTATGGAAAACGTGGTTAATATTGCTGTAGTACGCGTTTAAATTGAAAAATTGAAATTAGAACGTTCGAAAATGCAGTGTTTTCACATTTCATTGTTTTACTCGAAAAATATAATAGATAGAATGAATCCAATATATGCATATAAAAACTGAATGTTTGGGGAATCCAGCAAGTATAGATGCATTCCTGTGCTCTTATCCATATTGCTGTAATACGCGTTCAAAGTTGAAAAATTGAAATAAGAACGTTCGAAAAAACAGTGTTTTCACATTTCATTGATTTACTCGAAAACTATAATACATAGAATTAATCCAGCAAGTATAGATACATTCCTGTGCTTTATAGTATGCAAAAACTTTGGAGTTTTACAATACATCGGATTACACGTGTAAAATAATTATTTTCTTCTCTTACGAAAACAAAAAAAAAATGCACAATGAAGCTTAGCGAATGAACATTGCAGCTGCAGAATTAATAATTCATTATTCAGCGCTGTGAAATTTCCATACGCGGAAAATTCGAAAACGGAACGCATTTGCATATTCAAATTTCGCAAAAAAAAAAAAAAAAAAAAAA